TTGGGGTTCCACACAAACTCCAGGCCATTAATGTTAGTGCTATGGATCTGGACGTCAAACACGCCGTAACTGAGGGCAAAGTCCACGTCTATAATGCGGTCCTTGGCGTGGGTTCGGCACCAATTGAGCATCTCTTCGGTCTCCCGGTATTGTAGCCGCTTTTCCACGAAACCTAGGTCAGTTTGTGATTAGTTTTAATTAATCAATTAATTATAAGTAAATGTATTTTTAATATAAGCTAAATATGATTTTTAAAAGTAAAGTTACCCTAGTTGTAATTAATTATTATTTAATGTAATTAACCTTATTTTATATGCACGTGCTAATGTTTTAAGCTAGTCATGATAAATTAGTTAATAATTTGTAATTGCTTTTATAAACTAACGTTTATCTGCATGTTTTTTATATGATCATTTAATTTATATAATAAAATTATTTATGAAAATAAATTGCTAGTAGCAAAAATGCAGACAACAGTCCCTCTCAAGGACTTACATAATTAATAGCTGTCATGTGCGGCACAGGTAAGGGGATGTCATTTATAAATTTGGAATGTAAATATAAAAAGCAAAAGTAACATATTTCTACTAAATACATCTCGGTTATCACCTTAATCAATAAAACAATTTTTATTCCCAAACCAGAATTGACCCAAAACTAGACATCAGTATAAAAATAAATTTCTATAAAAATTACTGAAAAACTTTGACGAAATATTTTTACAACATTTAGGTAAAATTTTTCCCATTTAAAATTTTCCATACTTTTAAATCAATAATAATAATAAAACATAATTAACATGGCCATTTAAAATAAGCAAAATATTTATAGAGTCGCCCAGATATACCATACCTAAGCGCATGGTTGTGCGCAAATTTTTACCATCATAGCCGGGAATGTCGGAAATACGCTTGAGCCGGATCTCATAGGGCTGGGCCTGATTTAAGTAGGTCATGGTCATGGCGCCCAGCTTGACGCCCGACGCGGTGGGCGCGCCCAATATGTACTGAAACACGCGGGAGTGGGGCTCGGCTTTGATGGTTTGGCCCACCTGTACGCTAGACATACGGTTGGCCACAGAGGGGGCGTCCGTTTTGCTATACCGGCGCCACGAATAGCCGTACGAGTTCTCCATGTTTTTCGATGAGTAGTCGCCGACTGCGCCCACCGTTTCGCCCGACTCCGAGATGTCCGATGGAAAACTGTATGGTAAGAGTTAAGTACATGTTTAGTATGTGTCTTATATGTGGGAATATTCCGGGTTTACAAATAATAGGGAATATTTTGTGTGTGTTTTTATACTTTTAAAATTATTTACTTTTGTTTGTTTGCTAGATAATCTGTGACTAATCTATATTGTAATTAAGTCAACCATGGTTACAATTTAATAAATTAATGGATGAATGTTAATACTTATGAACAGAGCCGGTGTCCACCGACGATGACACGGAACTGATTGGTGACAATTCATCGGTAGCTGTCAGGCCCTTAAAGCACAGCCGTTTAGTATTTTTCCTGGCCTTACGGGCGGCCTCTATCATAGACTTGGCAGACGCGGCCATGTCTTCGGCACCGGTAGCCGAAGCTGTCGATGACGGTTGTGGTAGAGATGATATTGCTGTCAGCGATGGTACCGGTGCTGGTGGTTGTTGTTGTTGTTGGTGGTGATGGTGTGGTTGGGTGTGATAATTGGTGTACCCATTGCTGCCATACCTTCTCTCGCTGTCGGTAGAAGTATACGAACCGCAAGAATCATTAGATACTGGGCTATAGTATGCGGGGGTAATAATTGGGCATTGAATTGAAATAGTTGGTTTTTATTAAATTCAAGTAATTTATATATTTATTAGTAGTTTAGTGATTGAGATTACACTGTTATATGGTTTTAGAATTCACAATTGGACATCAAATTTTTGGATAAATACATTCAACCAAAATGAGTAAAACTTGCAAATGTGTAAAACTATTTAACCACTTGTGGGTGAATGTGTCATTTTGTGGACGTATTGTGTGTGAGTCTTAGTGATGGATAAAACTAATCGTTCATATAATGACATCTCATAATCACAGTCAATGACAGAATACAATTCATGACTGGAATGGCAAAACATATTACCCTCTAACTCATGATTAGAAATACTCATGAATGTTCAATTACTCAGTCATCTATAAATAGTGTATTCAGTTACTATGATTCAATCATGTCACCATAGCTCAGTGGTTAGCGTCTACGACTCTGAGTGTGATAAGCTCGGTACGATTCCCGGCCCAGTCACTTTTTTAAAAAACTTTTT